AATTGCTTTTTGTCGAAACTACGTCTTTTGAGCTAACAACTTCAGCCCGTCGCACAGTGAGATGAACAAGTGAAAAGAGCGAAGCGGCATCATTATGCACTGAAAATTGAATCGATTCCTTTGCAAATCACGTAAGCGCCGAAATTGCGAATGCGAGAAAAACAAGAAAAACAGTTTTATTCGCTTTGTTAACAATCTTCGAATTCCAAAAATGTGCGTTCTTTTAGAAGGCTATTTTGGCATCAGAAATGATTGATTATACCAGTGAAAGCAAGGAAAAAACAACCCCTCTACCATCAAAATAAAGATTGGCACTTACGTGATTTGGAAAATAATCGGTTCAATTCTTGATAGTTGCTCAATGTTCAACAAAGTTCAATTGTTCATTTTATAGTTCTCTAAAGCGTGCTTATGCGCAAAGAATGAGAGCTCTGTATTGCTAAATGATTGCATTTTGCAATTTGGAACTACAATATCTGGCCTAGTCTAGATAGGACATATGTGTCACTAGCCCTATGCGTGTGAGGGTTTTTACGAATGGACTAGAAATTGTTGTTATTCCAATTGCAAAATGTAGGTAGTCCACATTACGTTCAACTGGACACATAGGACCACCATCAGCATAACTGTATTCGATGTTGCCAGATTTGCTCATTTTTACAAGAAAATTAAGTGACAAACGCCAAGAAATTCCCGGTGCATTTTCCTCTGGGCATGAAATATATACTTATTGAAGTTAAGAGCAGAATCTTGCTGGGTTCACCTATAAAAAAATAAAAATTAAAGGAAATCAGACACAGTCTTATAATGATATGCTGATTCTTTTTCACATATTCTTCGACAGACGCGGTTTTGGAGAAGATAGATATCAACTTTCAGGGCGTATCGACAACATCGCGCGAATGCTCTCTCTTCCATTTTCCACGACTCAGCGTCGCGTCGCGACGCGACGTGGCGAGGCGTCTGGATATCGATCTGGAGTCAGTGGAGATTCTCACAAGTTGGCAAAGCTGTTTTTCTTCCATTCAAAGCCATTATAAATATCGATTCTTGATGGCTTCACCTAGAATTGATTGTTTTACACAAATTTAAATGAACGAAACCCAGTTTTGATAACTCGCGAGGATTGCCAACATCTCCAATGGCCATAAATGGGTAAAATTGGAAACTGTGGGAACGAAACGCAGAAAAACCGTAACCTACAACCGGTGATGAATCATTTCGTTCATTCAAGACATTCAGGTCACTTTATAGGTGGAAACGTTTCAAAAATTTTGGAGTGGGAGGGGAATTTACGTGTCACGATATTGCATAAAAATGACCACTGATAATACAGAAAAGATGTGAAAATTGGAGGAAATAAAATTTCACCATAAAAAGTCATTAAACGCATGAGAACGTCTGCAATATAAATTCCAGCATTTTGACAAGATGGTCAAACTGCAAAAACGTGTACCTCGTGATAGGGTTTTAAAATTAATATGTAGTTAGTGCCTTCCGTCGAAAACGCCTTCAATTAGCAATGATAGTGCGGGATACACCTGAGTTCGAATAGTTGCATCTCATTGGAGGAGCAAAATCTACTTGCATTAATAATTGCGCTTATGTGAAACCCTGTTTTGAGACCTCAGGACGCTTGCGATTTACTGTTCTTGACGTATTTAGAAAAATTTTAATTCAACAATAGCCGATATGCGTTTTTTAAAAAGTTAAAAATTATAAGTTTTGACTGGCCAATTGTTACTTTCAAGCCAGGAAAGTTCCAAACCCACAGAAGTCATTCCTTATTCTAATTTGTCAACGATGGTGCTTGTGATACTTTGGGCAGAGGGTGCCGATATCGCGATTACAATATCGTGCGGGCATTTTTATTTTGACTAGACAAGATCAGCCTAGATGCATGGAATTAAATTTGTTTTATTAATTTAATCTAATATACCAATGCATTTCGGCAAACGCCATCATCAGGGTACAGCTTACAAAAACACAGAAAATTAACAAAGCACACGACACGCACGAAATGCCTTGGTATACGTTACATTGAATTAATACAAATTTCGTGATTTCAAGGATCTAGGCTAATCTTGTCAAGTCATATCTAACAGATGCAATAATTAGATGGCATTTAGTAAATATGAACCATCGCGTTTGCAGTGTTTTCAACATCGTGCAACTTCTGCCTTTCTTTTAAAAATACTCAATCTAAATGTACAGTATTAAAATTTACACAATTATTTTCCTTCAAAACCATAAATTTCTTGGTGGGAAGCAAAAACTATATGCTATTCTGGGAGATTTATTTGAGAATCCTGAAGAGGCAACATTTTTACATCAACGTAATCGTGCTGGTTCCTTCTTGCTAAATGCGATCCCATTCAGAATCACAAGAAATTATTTTTTTCCTTTCTTTTTACTTTTTCCTCAAAGCACAATCACGAGGAGATGGACGAAGAAGATCGTTTTACATCGACGGCATCTGTCGTGGAGAGAGCATCGCTCGCCGGAGACGGCGAGGAAGAAGGAGATGAAATTAGGACCCGGGGGAGGATCCCTACAAGTGTAAGGTTAAGCCGTTTCCAAAGATCCGCGCAGCGCCGCGGCGAGCCGGGAGTCATCTCCGCCGAATATTCGAGAGGGAGACTTCTTTTTTGATTTCGCGCTTAAAATCCCAAACGTGATATTTCCGACGGCATTGACTTAATGGAAGACCCTCGCACCCGGGCTCCAGCCATTCCCGGTCGAAACCGCTTATCCCGACTTGGGAACCGCCGCTCTCGTCCTTAAGATCTAAACACTTACGGGGGCTCACCCGACGCTCGAGTCGCGCGCTTCCGACGTGGGGGCGGTAAAGTGTCACCATACACTCCGCGGCCCGATATTTATGCAGCATTACGTAAAATAAAGACCCGTTAGAACTAGTTTAATCTTATTTTATCGCGCGCTGAAATAGTTCGAAGCGACTCGCTGCTACCCCTTTTGTCCCGTCGTTCTCAACCCCCGAACTGCCGTGCTAAGGGAGAACGCCGTATGAGCCATCGTACATTGCCAAGTTTCCTTCGATAAATTACGAATTTATTGGAAAAGTTATTAATATTTTTATCCCAATTTTTCGGAAAATATTGTTCGCAGCTCAATCTAAATTACCCAAAAATGTCGAGGAGATATATGCGTAACTTCCTTTCAAAATAAACATTTTATCGGAGGGAATTTGGCAACTTTCGAATGTTCCTACGGCGTTTTTCTTACCACGGCAGCGTAGAATGAGGTGCCCCGCTTCCCCGCCCGTTCCAGCTCGGGCACTCTGCGAGGGACATTCTTGGTGGTTACTCCCAAAAATGTGGGTCGGGAACCTCCCTATGGGCGTCCCTTTTGCGGTTGAGAGCGGGTCGTCTTTCTTATCCTGACGACCCTCAGATGTCGATGCTTCAATCCAACAGATTGGAGATACCGAGCGGCCAATGATCTGGACCGCGTTAATCAGGAAGGAACCAAGCCACATCAGTTATTGTCAAATTTAATCAAGCAATTTAATTTTTTTACATGAAAACGGTTGTGCGGTTTCTTGTGCAGATTTCAGTGAATTTTTTGCGTAACACGAAGCAAATTCCTTAAAATTTTCAAAACAATCCACACACACGTTCTCTGGTAAAAAATTAAAATACCTAGGTTAAATTTGGCGATAGCTGATGCGGCTTGGTTCCTTTCAGTTTAAAGCGGTACGACTAAAAGTTCTCGTCTGGACTGATATGAAAATTAAGGAATTTAAACAGAACTATACGTAGAAGAAAAAGCTTTTGAGGTCTTCCTGAGGCAAGGAGATGCTTCAGGAACGACTTTCTTTACGGAACGTTTTGAACCATCAATAAGTGCGTGAGATGCAACTATTCAAACTCAGGTGTAGGCCGCAGTATCAACTCTTTTTGAAGGCGTTTTTAGCGCGTTGCATTAACTTGCTTTATGCTTGTGATGCAGCTAATATATTCGAACGCAAATGTTTGCCGCTTAAAGGAATCCATATAGAGTCTCCATATGGTAAACGCATGTTTTTTTCTAGTTCAATGGAATGATTATTGAAAGTGATAGACAAAGAGAAAATGGAGCGATCATATTGGTGGAAGTAAGCAGTTGCGATGAACGAAGGAGTTCAGTATTAGACAAATTAACAGCTGTTCCCTATTTTTAGTTCAACATTTTCTATCTTTGACTGTAGGAACCACCTGTTTCAACTAAAAAGGTCGCTCCATTTTCGTTTCTTTATCTTTTTTGTCTCTCACTATGTCCCTGAGGCTGCCGATCATACTGACCTTCAGTTGATAATGAACACCGGACTATTTTGATGCAGGTAACTGAAGTTTTCGGTCATAGACATCAAAATTCGGTGAGCTAAATCGTATATGGTTCAGCTTACTTAAACTGTAGTCACCGAAACTAAAGTTCGACCTCTGTGACAAAAAAGTTCGGTCACCGAAATCGAAGAAGCGCGTCGTCCAATATGTGACGAAATTTTCCTCTACGTACAGTTCTATTTAAATTCCTTGATTTTCACATAAGTCCAGGCGAGAACTTCTCGTTGGACCGCTTTAAACAGAAAGGAAGCAAGCCACATCAGCTATTGCCGAATTTAACCTAGGAATTTAAATTTTTTACCAGAGAACTTTAGTGCGGATTGTATTGAAAATTTTGAGGAATTTGCTTCGTGTTATGCAAAAAATTCACTGAAATTTGCACAAGAAACCACACAACCGTTTTCATGTAAAAAGTTAAATTGCTCAGTTACACTTGACAATCGCTGATGTGGCTTCGTTCCTTTCTACCTAACGCGGTTCAGTTAGTCCATCATTTCTTAGTCGTTAGTCTTCGACAACCACCCGTTTCAACCAATTAGATGGCTCCATTTTCCGATTCTCTTTTTGTCCGCGTTTGGCCCACCAATATCTATAATGAGCTCATAGACTTATATGGTGCGATATTACATGCATTTGATGGGGGTGGACTCTTACCTGGGACAATCCTGGGGCCGTTGGCAGTGTTGGAGAGAGAGCCGCTTCCATATTTGAGCTGCTGCGGCGTGGCGTTGGAAGAAACGACGGCTATCTCGTCGAGCTCGTGGTGGCCGTAGACGAGCTTGGTACTCGAGCCGGGCACATCCGATTGACGCCGCCCGGTCAGCGATTGCACGAACCGCCTGGCCGACGTGGACATAGATCACCCGGGTCCCCGCATCCCTCACAGCGGCATCCCCGCACCGGCACCGGCACCCGGACCCGGGATCCTACCGATTGCGGCAACCACGAGCACCGCCACCCACCCCCGCCCCACCNCCCGCCTCACAGCGCCCCGCCGACACATCCCCGGCACCGCGAACCCACCATTCCCACCAGTTGCCGCAGGCCGACGCGAGAGCGCGCTCGCAACCGATCTCAACGCGAGTCGCGCACAGGCCGCATAACCGGCTTCGCCCGCCGCTTCCCTCACCTCGAGTTACCCAACAATATCCCGACTCGCACAGCAGGCTTTCGCTCGACTTCTTCAGTTAGTAAATCGACCGTGTGCCACGCTCAAATCCCGCGATATTCCAGACAGCTAACTCCTCCCCTGAAACAGGAAAAAAACAATGATCCATGAGAATTTGCGCCAGGTCAACAGAAATTACAGTTGAACTGCGTTTCGCAATAAGGATTTACTATTTCCGGCTAATCTGTAAAAACAGTCGTGTTCATAGGGAAACTAATGGTACATTCGTTGTTTCTAAAATGAACCAGAAATAGTAGTTCATCATTGTGCATGATATCAGGTCCAAGCAGTTGGTCTGGTATGGACATGTGCGAAGGATGGCAGACGATCGGTTGCCTAAGCAGGTTTTCGATTGGGGTCCTCCCGGAAGGCGACGGCGTGGACGTCCTGTGAAAGGTTGGTGACAAGGGGTGGAGGAGGAGATCAGAAGGTGCCAATTGCCTGATGGTCTCTGGGTCTGGGAGGATAGGGGGCAATGGCGATTGGGCGTCGCAGAGCGCGAGGCTGCGCTATAAAAAAGGCTTAATGTATGTATGCAGAAACTGATCTATGGCGTGCAGCGCCGATAATACGGAATAAAATGACATCAAAAAGAAGATTCATTGAAAATTCATAATGGGAACTACCACAAGACGGACACCGCTTATTTACTCAATGCGTAAGAGAAAGATAGCATCATGATATCTCTCTTTCACACATTGAGGCAATGAACAACGTCTGATGGTCTATTTCCACAAAAGGATTGCGTTTTAATATTTGGAACATCAATAGCTGGTTTAGTTCAGAAACGACGTTTGTGCCATTAGTTTCGCTATACTCATGAGTGTTTTTACAGATGGGCTAGAAATTATCGTTCCTACTTGCAAAATGTAGTCTAAATGTGATGTCTTACCATTCACTTTTCATGCTGCTAGACGTTATGGATCAGCTTCTTGCATTGGGTACTTTTTTATAATTATTATTGTTTCTCAAAGCCACAGACTGTGTAACAGCGAAACCTAGTGGCGCATTCCGTCCCTAGATCACTTGGAATCGCCGTGATTTTGCCTTCCTCGGTTACATTGGTCAGAGTGCGGGGTCTCTAAAATATATTGTCTTCTTTTTTTACAGGCATTTGAATGGACAAAAAACACCGTTGCCAAAGTGCCAACAAGAATCGCAAGTAAAGAATCATAATGCAGAGTCTTTCTAAAATTATTTTCGTGCGACATGAATAGTACGAAACATAAAACTTGGCACTCCAAGAGTTGGTTCTTCAAAACAGTCGAGCGGTTGAGCACACCCCCCCCACCCCCCCTCTCACCCCGTGACGTGTGCAATTGACCCAGCGAGAGAAACAAGAGGCGAGAAGGCGCGGCGCGGTGTAAGAGAAAAACCAAGGGAGGTCCGAGCGTCGCTGCAAAGCGACTTTTTGACGTTAATTTATTTGGACGGGAGGTGAGCCAACTTGCGCCACTAAAAATATTCTCGCGGAAAAATAAAACAGTTTTGAAAGGGGTGATTTATAGAATAGAGCAATGAAAGCGAGAGTTGCCGAATTTCGAAAAAAAATCATCGTCACACGCCTCTGTACGTTGTATCGCGAGAGTATTTTTCTTGGCAAGTGGAGTTGCTACGGCAGTTCGTTTTTCGTGGACGGTGAAACTACAAAATTACCGTGGGAACATTATCTCAAAATTTACTTGTAAAAATGAACAAATTTAATTCGATTCAGGCTAACTATATGAGATGTTGCCTATTTCAATTTGAACATTGTTGCAGATAGCAAGGTGTGAATCATGAGAATAAGTAAGATTGGCATAGCCTTACCTTGCATATTAAATATATTAATTTTAATAACTCTTGACTTTTAATGAACTTTTTTCAAAATAGGGGGCTTTCAATTAAGGCTATGCCATTCTTATTCATTTACTCGTAGTTCAAAAGCACTTTACATTTAATCATTCGTAACAAGGCATTGAGAAATGTTCCGTGAACATTTTTCGAGTGCCATACAAGACCGGAGTTTGGGTGCATGGCTAGAAATTTCCAGTTCAAAAACACAATTTTGAGAGAACACAGTTTCAATTTCCATCCACCATGCTCAAGGCAGAAATTCTAAAACTTAAAGCCATAAGAAAATCAAGAGTCATAGAAAATGACTGGAAAAATGACACCGGAATAGACGCGACTGTACTTCACATTGCCTGGTTTTTCTGCATGTTTACTTTCTCTGACAGAGAAGTAAACTGTTTGTTTTTGACACCTTTGGACCATCCGTGGATTTGCTGTAGATAATGAAGCATACGCCACCTCTAAACATTTCTAATTTCTGAGTGGCTTCGTCCTCTGTTTAAAAAATAAACATCAGAGACAATGAGACAACGTTTGATTTTAAATCCAAATCGACTAATCAATTAAACTAGCCTACTAGTTTGCCTAATAGATGGTACAACAGTAGCATAAACAGCCTATTGTCACAGTTTCGATATATTTATGAAGGGGTTCACATCAGTATCTTTGCCATTAATGTCCTCTCCCTTCGAAATGCACTAAATCAAACTGCACGTCATAATAGACAAAATCGAGTCGGGGTTCAAGGTGAGAGTAATATGCGCAAAAACCTATGTGCGACTAAAATAAATATTCGAAAATACTCAATATTAGCTAACTTCAGGCAACACTGACGGGCTGGACAAAAAATGAGACTGCATGCTTCAGTGAACTCGAGAAAAGTTGCCGCGTATTTTCGATAGATTCAGATTAAACTTCAGTCATAGCGAACTTCATTTTTATTGAACTTGAAATCGTCCTGCAAAGATAGAACACGGAAGTGCCTTTACGATGAATGCTTTCCTGATAAACTAAGTTCGATGATTAATAACTTCATCGCAAAATTTCTGAAAGTATAATCGCAAGGTAAGATTTATCTGGGAAAAACTGATGTATTGAGAAAAAAGTTTAAGTGCTTTCGTTGAAAACTTTCAGAAAATGATGAACTGACGATAAGGATTTTAAATAGCAATTTTGAAATTTGAAGATCGAGTAATTAAATAGGGAGAGAAGTTAAGACATTTTTGACACGTTTTACGTCTAAAAAGGAAAACTAAATGATTACTTTTTTGATAATTATTGCATGATTTTTAGTTATCTTGATGGAGAAACTTAAAAAGGACTGCTGTTTAAAGAAAATTACGAATTCGGGTAGAGTAGGCCCTCGGAACAGTTTCAGAGTTTTGCATCACATTTTAAATGAGTTGGATAAAGAATAGTGTTATTAAAAGCTGATGGCCCTTTCACTTGAGATTTTTTTCTCAAACGTTGCGAGACAAACACTAAATTGGTACTTCGTACGTGTCAAATTTTCGACCAGTTATTTCGTGACACACCAGCCAAACAAAAAATGTTCCATTTACCAATTTCTTCATATTTCATTCCTCATATTGCTTCTTGTGCAGTTTTGTCAATCAGCAAAATCTTATTTTCAGATGTGCGCAATCCCTTAACAATTTCCAAAACACATTGTGCGCCAGGATTTGAAAATATAATAGTTTGAGAGAGGTCTAAAAGGGTAGTTTGTGTGACTCTTGCTTATACTTTTTCTGTATATTCGCCAGGGCGATAGCAGTGATGATTCTTGAAAGTTCGCAGCACCGAACTTGACAACTTAACCCTTTCAGACCGAATAATGGATCTAACGATTAGAATAGATCATTCACGATGGAATTAAATAGTAGAAAAATATTGTTGCCGTATTTTGAGAAACACCACTGAAGAACAAAGACCATAGATACAAATTTTTATGAAGCAGCCCAAGATGATGGTAACAGGAGTAAACAAGGTGGAAAAAAGGGAAAACAAGGCTAAAATACAACGTTTTGACTCAAAACTGAGTCATTTTCAGTCGGAAAATTAAGTAAAAATTAAAAAATATCGAAGGGAAAACCTGAGACCTACATGTTAGTGGCCGAAATCCGAGAAAACCGAACTTCTCGGACTTTTCTCGGATCTCGGCCACCACCATGTAGGTCTGGAGTTTTTTCTTCGATATTTTTAAATTTTAATTTATTTTCCGACTGAAAATGACCCAGTTTAAGTTGAAACGTCTCGGGTTTTTAGTGGTATATTTTAGCCTTGTTTCCCTTGTTCCCCCTTGTTTTCTCGTGTAACAGAGACCTACAACGTAATCTGGAGCTCACCTTGAAATAAAGGAAAACTTCATTACGTAAATAAGATGAACTTCGGCATTTCCAATGAATTCCGAAAAAAGGTACAATATAAGAGGGTTGGATTTCCCACTCTCCTCTTGAAATGAAGTTCTATTTGAATTGGTGGATGTTAAAACCGCAAAATTTCGTTTTTGGATGAGTCTTAAGCTCCATAAGAACGCTTAAACTCTAGGGTTCATCAGGAGAAGGACATGCCCGGTTTTTACGAATTTAAGAAGAAGGTATTGCGACGTGGGAAGTCGGGTCTCCGTTTGAATCCCAATCCAATATTCAGGGTTGAATTCATTGAGACATCATCTTACCTCCATCTTGAGCATGGTCGAAAACATTAGTGGATGTAATGACAAACAGCCTATTTTTTCCACCGAAAAGGGAAAAAACCAATATGTTTGAATAGGCTCATTGATCGACTAAAACATATTGCCTCTTCAAAAGGTACTAAACTGAGTCGAAAAGCGAGCCTCTTGAGCCATTTTTTAAACCTTCTTCCACTCAGTTGTCTGCAGCTCTCATGGTTGCTTCCAGGTGAGCCTTGTTTTAAATATAAAACTATGCTTTCTGGGGCTCACACGGGGATCGAGATACGCCCTTA